AGAGAGAAAGAGAATCAGTTATTCTTTTTCGAGAACTTTCACGTCATCCAGTATGAGTCATAGATATTGAAGATTTCTTTACCATTTTTATCAATATCATGTGAATGAATTACAGTAAAATATTTTAGATCAATCAAATCAAATACGAAAAGTGATATAGACATTTTTTTTCTTTATTTTTAATTTATAGAAAAATGTTGCTCTGGCAGATTAGTGTTACCACCAATCCGCTCAATTTCGTCATCGCAACATGTATTTGATCGGGAAAGATCTTTACCTCTTGGTAAGTTGTAATAAGCAACTTTTCTTAATACCCTCCAAAGTTCGACATTCACTTTGTCTTTGCTTATATCATGTTAAGAGAGAGAAAAGAAAGAATAAAATGTGTAAAGACAAAATAGATGTCGTGCTCTGTGGACGATCGAGAAAAGTTGCTTATTACAAACTTACCAAGAGGTAAATGATCCCACCCGATCAAAAACATGTTGCGATGACGAAATTGTGCGGATTGGTGGTAACACTAGTCTGCCAGAGCAACACTTTTTTTTTATAAAATTATCACGAGAAATCTTATCAACTGTTGTCATTATTCGCTTATGTGTTTTAATATGCAGGTTATTAAGAAAAATATCTTTACGAAACGACGTTATCAATAAAGACAAAATATTGTTTATATCTGAAAAAGTATAATGTTGTGAAATTTGAAAGTAGATGTTGTTAGGTTTACTGATAACTATCTACGACTCCTGCCCCACGTTCGATACGTAAGCGGGAAGATTGTCTATCGGTAACCTTAGTCTGTATAAGATCCACTATCTACCTAGCTAAAATCCTACCTGTAGTTGTATTATTCTCGATAATGGAATAAAGTAATCTTTGTACTCTTAAGTTTGTGCAGGGGGTGGGGGGTCTTATAATGATGATGATCACTTGGTAAGTTGTGTAATGAAAAAGGTTTTTTATCTATTTATCTATTTCTTTTATTTTCAACCGTAAAAAAGGTTGAGTTCAAAAATGTATGTATGTATGTATGTATATATATATATATATATATATATATATATATATATATATATATAT